TTGTACCTTGAATAATCTGTCATTTACTTTTTGTGGTACATATTCAACATAGAAAATAACATAATGTATGTTCACTTTGAACTGGCACATTTAGTAATATATCAGTTACTTTTCGTGGTCATATATTATATTAGATAATATCATTTAAAGTATTAAAGGTTTAAATTATTATGTTACATTTATATTAGATAATCATTTTAATTTAGAAAGGTTTAAATTTTTGGGGTTAATTTCACAGGTCAACAAAATTTGACTTTGCAAAATCATCAGAGATGCGGGTATATTTTTCTGACGTATTTTTGTGTGCTGAATCCAAATCCGTTCATAGAATTTTCCCATCACCCTCCATTTTCGAGATATCCGCCATTTTGTATTTTTTTCAAATTCGTTTCTTTCAGAATTTTTTGCACTCCAACGGAACATGATAATTAATCGTACGACCTCTCATTTTACGCATAATTGCTTCCAGAATACGTGTGAATTTTTCCAGATCCAAAAAATTACTGATGCTTAGTGTTATCAGTGAAAAACTTCAAAAATTTCACTAAAAATGACGAAAATTCAGCCATTTTTAGAAGAAAAAATGCATCTAATTTGAAAAAAAAAAATTTTTTGAATATTGTAACTGCATGGTCTTATAGTAGGCTAATCACACGTTAATTTTCGGGCTTGTGCGTCTATTTAACTTTATTGTATGTGAAGATATGTATTTTTAACCGATAATGTCGAAAAATGGTAGTGCATGGGTGCTAGATGCACTGGCACGTAATACCAGAATGATTGACATCAATTTCACATTTTGCAATATTTTTCAGGGTGTTTAACATACATATTTCATTCCGAATATCAAAAATGATGGATGAACTTGCAAAATTTGTTTACAAAAAACGATATATTCATTATTCTGCACCTAATTCGAAGTAGTATAAAGTGTTAAAATAGTACATTATGCAACAAGGGTGTAAAATGCGATTTTACGCACCGAGACGTGATCGCTGCGCTCTAGTGCTCGCCGAGGGTGGCAACACGTCGCACAGTGTTGCGGAATCTAAAAAAAGTGGCCATAAATCTTATTTTTGTTATTTTTGGTTCAATACACATTAGAAATATACTGTTGTTTTTAAACTTATTTTAATTCATATTTATATCTTACTTATTTGCTTTTTTACTTTTTGTTTTAGTAACTTTATTATGTCCTGCACATGTATTTTGCTATGAGAAAGTTAGCTGTGCGCTATTTAACGGAATATTTACATATTCTTATTACATATCATATATTACATATTATTAACTAATATATTTTAAAAATAATATTT